CGGCAGTTACTAAACAAAAGTTATTAAATAGGTCCAATACTAGTTTAAGCATTTACATAAATTATACTTGTAATCACTATAATAATATAAAAAAGATAACAAAATTGTCAAAGATTTCATGTTCTTTGGATCCACAATCAATGTTTATGGAAAGAATAATCAAGAAATCAAACAACATAATGCATTGTGCAAATCTGTTGCAAAGGACTTTTAAAAGTATTTAAATAGCAAAGATTTAACTCTGAGGTCTATGATGTACCTGATCAAACTATGGTATTTTCAATTGCTTCAAATCTTTTGAAAGCTGCACAATGATTAAGGGAAAATTACATGAGAACTGGTATCTTTGAATAGTGTTGAAAAAAGAATATACCATGAACTGTCAAAAGAACAAGTAAATCTGTGTTAGAAGAAATGCAGCCAGAATGTTCCTTAGAAGAGTGGTTGGAAAGACTCGGAAGACATCAGGAAGTCAGCCCCTGGAGACGGCGGCCATCATACTTCATAAGGCAAGGTGTCAATGAAAGAGATGTGCAGATCCTTAAGGAGATGAGCTAACAACGTGGCTGTAACACTGGGCTCCAGTACAGCAGCAACTGTGAACATGGTTGAGGATCTGGTACTTTGGTATTTTTCAGAGCACAGGGTCTCTATGGGTTAGACCTGACTCAATGACACTGAATGACAATGACAACAACACAATACTACTACCCAATGAGCATCATTATAATTTATTATTGCATGTGTATGCACATTTAAAATGCATATTCCCTACGAAATGTCTAGAAACTGGTTTGATGCTGTTATAGCTTCCAAAAAGATTGTATCAAGTATTGTCTTCTGATTTTACATCATAATATACTAATTATATTAATAATTTCCACATTGGTTAAAGATCTTGGATTACTAAAAGTAGCAATATGGCAAACAGGAAGATGTTTTATAAGTTCAGTTGACTTTGTTCTCTCAGCTCATTTAAAGAAGAAGATGAGAGCATAACTGTCATATTTCCACCTTACTCTGTGGATTTAATAAAAGCGTAAAGTTGTAAAAAAAAAAACTGCTTCCAACATTCCGCTCTCATAGGTATCTGAACAGTCATCCTATAGAAAAAGCAAACTGAAGAAGCATACAAAATAACGAAATACAAAGGATTTTTTAATCTCATGAAATTCAGAGTTTCAGGGGTTTTTTTTGGTTTTGGTTATAAGACAAGCAATAGGAATATTTTCAAAATACATACAAACCAATGCAGCTATATAATCCCTTTAGAATTAGGTTAGCATTGTATGGAGCCTGAGTTGAGCCTGGTGTGCGGATTTGAAGTTACCAGGTGCTCCTCAAGAAAACAATGTGGAAAGATAGTCTCATAAAGATATATAGCCTTAGAAACCCTGTGAGGCAGCTCGACTCTATCCTTTAACATAGCAATGGGTCTGAATCAACTCAATGACAAGGGGCCTTTCCAGTCCTAGTACTGAACATCTAAGAATCAGACACGATTTTGAGAAAAATGTTAATGGTTTTAAAAATTTATCTGAGAATCATCTATGAGTGCTTATACTCAACTCAATTTATTGCCGTCAATTCAGAACTGATTCACAGCTGCCCCTCCAGTAGGTTTACAAGGCAATAAACTGCATGAGAGAAAACTGCTCATTTTTCTTCAATGGAGCTTGGTGGCTTTGAACAGCCTGAGGGTTCAGTCTTTAGGTTACTAGTGCAAGTCCCTAGAGGCTCTGCCATCAGCGCTACCTTATGTTTATTGTAAACCCTGAAAATATTCTGTTGAAAAAGGTCAATTAGAGGTGACAATCTCATAGAGTTGAAAAATAAAAACTAAGTAAACAAATATATAAAGAAAATAATGACAGCATCTGTTAAGGGATATGAAAAATAAGCAGACTATTATGGTAAAGAGTAAGAAAAAGAAACAGATCTACTGTAGAAAGAATGGTTCAAGACTGACTCTGAGGAATGGATATTGACCAGTCAAGAGAAAAATCTGGGAGGAGAGTTCAGACACAGAAAATATAAATATAAAAAACTGTAGTGTAACTGGGTATTTTGGCTGGCCTAAAGTGTGCTAGGGGGAAAAAAAAAGAGATTTAAGATAATGTTGGAGAAGTAGATCATGGCCAGATCATATGAGGGCTTATATCTGAGTAAACAGTTTAAATTTTATCCTAACCACAATAAAATATCACTACATTGCCTAAGTGAAATAATTTCATTTAAAAATACCACTCAGGCCTCTGCGTACCAAATGGATTCTAATGGAATCAAAGCAGAAGGAAGGATGTAATTTTTGAAAGTTTTATAGTAGTTAAGATGAGAAGTAAGGGTGGTGAGGGCCTAGGGGAGAAAGCATTAAAGAGTAATGGATCTTGATGAATCAATGGAGAAGGGGAAATTTTGTTTAAGATAGGAGTTATTTTTTTTTAAGATAGGAGTTATTAAAATAAGTGTTGCTAAGAGCAACACAGAAAAAAGGGAGAAACTAATGTATAGAGAAAATAGAGTCTTGGAACTGCAATAGTGGATAAGATTCACATCACAAATGAGTACCTCCATGTATATGTAAATGGATACAAGTAAGATGAAGTTGTTGGCAGTAAGAAGCCACAAATACAACCCCTAAGGAATGCAGTTCGAATCTCCCAGCTGGCTCTGCACGAGAAATATAGGCAATCTCCTCCTCCGCAATTAACAGCTTCTCAAAACCCACTAGAGGGTCAGCCATGGATGGTTCCACCTTGAGAGTACATACAAACAACGACAATCATGATATTGCCTATTGGTCCAGTGGTGAGAATTTTTTTTCCTTAACATTGAGATGCAATCTTTATTGAAGGCTACAGTGTTTAATCTTCTGCAGCAAGTGCTTCAAGCCCTCCTCTCTTTCAGCAAACAAGATTGTGTCATGTGCATAACGAAAGTTATTGATGAGTCTTCCTTCAGTTTTGATGCCACATTCTTCTTTATAGAGAGCAGCTTTTCAAATAATTTACAGATTAAATTGGCAACATCAGGATGGATGGTGAAGAGATTGAGATTGTTCACGGCTTTAGTCTGCTTGGCTCCACAATCAACACTCTTGGCATCAGCAGCCAGGAAATTAAAAGACGTATTGCAATGGGAAACTCTGCTGTTAGGGACCTCTCTAAAGTACTGAAGAGCAATGGTGTCTCTCTGGAGACTAAGGTGCATACAGGCCATGGTCTTTGCAATCACTTGTTATGCATCAGAGAGTTGGACAATGACTAAGGAGGATAGAAGGAGAATTGATGTCTTTGAGCTTTGGTGTTGGAGAAGAGTATTGAGGGTACCATGAACTGCTAAGAAAACAAACAGATTCATCCTGGAGAGAGTTAAACCAGGCTGCTCCTTAGACACAAGGATTCTGAGGCTTTGTCTGACATACTCTGGACATGCTGTAAGGAGAGACCAGTCCTTGGAGAAGGACAACATGCTTAGGAGGGAGGAGGGCAGGCGCAGGAGGGGAAGGTCCTCTAGGAGGTGGACTGATTTGGTGACTGGGGTAATTGGGATGGGTGTGTTGGAGACAGTGACATTGGCACAGGACAGAGCAGAGTTTAGGGCTGTTGTACACAGGGTGGCTATGAGTTGCAAGCGACTCGATGGCACATAACCAAAACAACAACAACAACAACTCTGACACACTTCTTTCTTAATTTTAATCCATGTAGTGTTCCCTACATTCCCACAATTGCCTCTTGGTCTAGGTATAGGGTTCACATGGACACAATTAAGAATTGATGCCTTGAATATCCCATGGAATTCCAAAAGAACAGACAGGTGTCGAAGAGGGTGCAACCAGAGGGCTCCTTGAAAGAAAAGATGACAAATACTTTGGATATGTTGCTAGAAGAGGTTATTCCTTAGAAAGGACTACCATGCTTAGAAAGGTGGACAGCAAAGGAGAGGACAATTTGCAATCAGGTGGACTGACAAAGTGACTGCAGCAATGGGTTTGAGTGTGTTAGAGATTGTGAAGATGGTACAGGCTAGAACAGGTTCAGATTCTGTTTTCTGTAGGGCCATGATGAGTAGACCTTGAATCAATAGCACTTAACAGCAAAAAAAAAAAAAAAAAAAAAAAAAAAAAAAAAAATATATATATATTTGTATTTATATATATGTATGTAATTAAACTTGGCTGCTCTAAAATTATGAGGAGCAATGATGTCAGTTTTAAGACCAAGGTGAGCCTGATTCAGGCTATGGTCTTTTCAGTCACTTGCTATATGCATCTGAAAGCTGGACAATGAATAAGGATGATAGAAGAAGAATCTATACCTTTCATTTGTAGAGTTGAAGAAGAGTACTGATTATGCCGTGGACTATCAAAAGAACAAACACATAATGTCTTGGAGACTGTGGCCAGAATGCTCCTTGGAGGCAAGGATGGTGAAGTCTTCTCTCATATACATTGGGTATGTTTTTAGGAAGGGCTATTCCTTAGAAAAGGATGTCATTCTTGGAAAGGCATAGAGAGGGTCAGGGAAAGTGAGGAAGACCTTCAACAAGATGGACAGACACAGTGACTACAGCAATGGTCTCAAGTGTGTTAGAAATGATGAGGACGGTACAGGATAGGGCAGGGTTCAGATCTGTTGTTCATAGGGTTGCTATGAGTTGTACTCAACTTGATGGCACATAACAACAAACTTGGCTGTAGCAATGGATTTAAGCCCAGCAAAGATTGAGATTCTGACAAAGGACTGGGTAGTGTATGGTCTCTACGAATCAGAGTCAGCTAGACAGCACCGAACTAAAAGAACAAAACATATTCACATGTGTTCGGAGAATGATTCCCTTGTCAGAGTTTTCTAGACATATAGGTACAGTAATGGCTGAATAGATGACAGATAAGATAGCATACTGCAAAGGAGGTGACACAAATTTGGTTATAAGGGGACAAACATTATATAAAATTTAAAAATATATGACAATCTGTATTAATAAAAAACCCTTACCTCTCGTTTGTCTAACGCAGCATATTCTGCTTCTATTTCTTCGGCTTCTGGATCCCGTGAGAATACCATCTGAGATTCCAGATTGAGGGCCAAATCTTTGTGGTGTTGCTTTTCAGCACAGTCACAAGGAGTATCTTTATTTTCATTCTCAGCAAACAAGTCTCCTCCATGTTTTACTAGAAGCTAAAGAAGTTTTTTCAAAAACTTGCAATCACAGATTTAAAAGGCTTAAGGTAATGTTACATGTTTTAAAAAATTATAAAATGAACGCAATTTATTAAAAAACAATGTTAAGTACACTCCTTGGGCGTCTGAAAAAACAATGACACTGAAGTATAAAGAGTTTAACTGTGCAAGCTGATTTATTTATATTATATAACTCACTCAATACTGGGGACTTGAAAAAGTCCACAGACTTAAAAAACAGTAAATGGTATCAGCAGCCTTCTCCCATTATCTGAAAGTAGAGTATTCCTATGAAACATTTAGTAAGCTGGACCATTGTAAAATGAAGATGCAAATAGAATTATTTCATACAGGAAATTTTTTTAATTCCCAGGCTAAAACAATAACCTGCAAAAGAACATGTAAAATCTCAAACAAGAGTAATATATCACAGAAGAAGGAGTGATATAAATATGCAGCTTAAACAGAGTAGAAATAATGTATGTACAGTATTTTTTATGGATGATGCTGTTTAATATTCAAAATTATGAATGCTGGTTTTGCTTTTAATTTTTCTTAAAACAAAAAAGAAACTCCTTCCCAGATTTTTTCTATTATGAAAAATAGAATTCTCCTGGAATTTCTTTAGGTGAATGAAAACAGGTACTAATGTAGAATTTTCACAAAAGCAAAGTACATAAAGCTATGAAAAGTGAGGGATACCTATATTGGTATTTTTAGCTTTTCTGTTTCAAAGATTATTTAAAACTCAATCACAAGAATAAGAAGTCATGGTGCTTCAGTGCTAAATGTTAACTGAAAGGTCAGTGGTTTGAATCCACTGGGTGGTTCAAGGAGAAAGATGGGCAGTCTCCCTCTATAAAGTACTTTACTTCTAAGATGGGCAGTCTCCCTCTATAAAGTACTTTACTTCTGACTGCTGCAGATCTAAGAAAATTGGCTTGCTTTGGTTTTTCCAGTTGTAGAAGATCATTTACTTTCACAATTAATACTAATCATAGAAAAGATTAAAAATTTTGGCAAAAAAATCTACTAAAATTCCAAATTATTTTAACTCAACAGCATAGGTTTTTGTTTGTTTAAAAAAAGCCAAGACTAACAACAAAACCTAAGTGGCTATGTCATTCTAGGGGAACTTTGTTAAAAGGATATATAGAATATGAACCCCATTCTTTTAGAAGTGGGAGGAAAAAAAGGCATGTAGAGGAGATACTAGAAAGGCAGCTGAGAAAAGGCTAACAACCAGAAGACCTTTGGTAAGGGGAGATTTCTTGCCTTGACTGACAGTCTCTCTGGAATGAATCTCCACATGAGTTTGAGGATGGACTGGGCACAAAGATCTGTGATTCACTCTTGCAACAGGTAAGAACCTCCTAGCTGGTGGTGACATGGCCCTGGTTGTAGCATTTGGACTTAAGAAAATCAACACATCTGCCACCTTTGGTACACAAGTTAGTTAATAGCCTTATGCCTGACACAAAGGACTGTTATGTTAAAAAGTCTTCAGTGTCCTACTCTTTGGGATGTAAGATAGACAACAAGAGGTCAATAAGATAGCAGGTATTAGATATCCATTAAATTGTTTCTGTATGAAGTCAAATGTTTTTATTTACCTCCTTTTGAAGAGTAAGTTCTAAAATGCTTTTTAAAAAAGGATCCCAACTAAATGTTTCTCATTCTCATGTAAGAGAAGAACTAAAAAAGGAACTGAATATTTTATCTTCACTGAAATTTTTTTAACCTATCTTCAACACTAATAGCATATAAAATGCTCTATGTTAATATCCCCTTATCACTACCTTGTATAGCCATCTAATAAGCCTCCCTTTCCTTGCCCATTGAGAGAAAGAGAGTAGTGTATCCGTTGGTATTCAGGACAAATCTTCTCCAGCCCTCTGATGCATAATTTAAATGGCTGGTGAATCTGTACAAGTCATTTAACTAACCTCTTTAAATATCCATTTACACAGGTCCATCTGTAAAATAGATGGCTGTGGTGGCTCAAATGCAAGCAGTTTGAATCCACCAGCTGCACCGTGGAAGAAAGATGGGTAATCTCCTCTCATGTAATTTACAGTCTCTAAAAATCTGCTGGAGGGTCATCTACAGTTCTGATTTGATGGCATTAAGAAAGTAAGTATCTACAAATGTGGCTTAAATAACTTGGGGGGGGGATCTCAAGAAGATGAGACCCAACCAACATTTGTACATTTTTAAAGGATCATTTTATTCTCTCTAGTTTCTCAACAACTTTGAGCATAATATTTTCTTCTCTTGGTGCCTGACTTCACTTTCTGCCTTTCTACTGGCCCGGCACAGGGGTTCCAGTTCTCTATTTAACTTAATCCTGCTATCCTTGTCTTTACTTTCCTAATACCTACTTTTCTCACATTAGATCCACAGACCAACATTTTCTTCTCAAGCTACTCTCTTGGATCTTCACTTTGCATCTTTGATACTGCCTATTTTCCCCCCTCTATCTTTGGTTTACCACTTCTTCAAATATTCTGATGGCCTGACACAGTGAATGCAACATCAGACTTGGACACAGGGATATGATGAGGATGGTATAGGAGAGAGCAAGGATCTGAACTGTTGTTCAGAGGGTCGCTGTGAGTTGTAGTCAACTAGATAACAAATAATACGCCAAGCCGATGTTATGAGATTAACACTCTGTTAACATTTTATGTGTAGTTAACGTCTTTTCCTTGGAGTTCTCAAATAATATCTTGTTTTTATCTATTAATTCTATGCGGACAACTCTGAACTCTAAATCCATACATACTCTTTTTTACCAACATTTACTCCTCATTTTTAACATCAAGCCATAAATATCATAGAAATAATCTAAAACCTTAATCTCTGTATTTCTAAATGAAAATTAAATATATTCTCTCTTTTAATAGATTCCAATTCATCCTCCTTTTAAAATACTGGTTAATTATTGGCAGGCTACCTAATCTAAACCCATATTAATTTTATTTAAAAGTTAAATGAATTTCATTTCTTCTAAGTATAGACAAGTTATCAGATTATTATAGACAATTCAAAGGAATCAAAGAGTGGAAAATGGTATCAACCAAAGATAGCTGTATCTTATTATATAATAGTATTTTAAAAGCTCCATAATTTTTAACCTTTGCTTTCTTTTATTAACTAAGTTGATAAAAGTCACCAAATGCATGATTTCTTCAGTGACACTTGTATCTGCCCCATTATGCTTCCCAAGCCACTACACAAATCCAAGCTCTTTCTAGGCTCCCACTAGAATTTGAGTAACTTTTAAAAATTCCTATTATTTGACCCAGACCATTGATCTCAGTGGTTGTACAATGGAATCATTGGAACAATTCTTAAATGCTACTAACTGGTGTCATGCTCAGAGAGTTCACCTACTAACTGGTGTCATGCTCAGAGAGTTCACCTTTCGAGGTATGCAATTTTTTGTGTGTGGCAGCCAGGGTAGAAATACATTTTCTGCACAAGAGTTTTGAAACTACCTAAGAAGCAGCTGGGAAGCTTAATCAGACATTTGGATCTGGGCTGGGGATAAGATATGGAAACATTTTACTGTAAATTCCAAGGCACAAATCCTACAGACCACACACACACACATTAAGAAAGGCCTCCCCAAACTTGAATGCAAACACAAATGACCTTAAGGTCGTGTCATAATACAGATTCTGATTCCATAGGTTTGGATGTGGCCCAAGATTCTGCATCTTCAGTAAACTGTAGTCATGAATGCTAATGCTAGACCCTGGATCATTCTCTAAGTAGTAAGCCTTTCAGAAACGCTACTTCACTATTATCTCCATTCAAATGTATTCCATCAAAACTAATAATCATTTTTATACATTAATATAATTTCCTCAATCAAAAAAATCAATAGTTCAATATTCTGAAAATAAATTCTTAGTGCTGGTAGTTAGTACTTTATACTTGGTATAATTATCTTCTCTTTAAATGATTGCTCTTATTATTCTTTTATAAAAAATAAACAAACATCAACCTGCATATAACTGAAAACCATATAAGTACTTTTCAAATTCTGGCATATAAAAGAACCATGAGAACTTGCTGTAAAATTCTTGGGGTCTATCAGTAAAGTAGGGGCCTGTCACTGGAAAAAAGACATCATGCTGGGAAAGTCAGAGAGTCAGAGAAAGAGAGTAGACCTTTACCAGGATGGACAGACACGATGGGCTCAAGAATGCTGGAGACTGGGAAGATGGTGCAGGATGGGGCAAGGGTCCTCTCTGTTGTTCACTGGGTTGTAATGAACTGTAGTTGACTCAACTGCACCCAGCAATACAGGACTACATCTAACAACAACAACAAGTAGAGAGTCTAATTTGAAATCTGGAAGGCTACAGGGGCTTCAGAATATGCTATTCTAATAATTCCAAGAGTTGCTGATGCTGTAAGTCTGAAGAACACATTTCAAATCCCCTTCAACTACTTAAATTGAAATCTTACCCATTCAAATTTTATTGCTACTCATAAAGTCTTACAGGATAATACATCTAAAGTGATTTCTATGTCCCTTCAACGCCACTAACAGTTACCGCATACATAATTAATATGGATCTTAATGTCATAATCTTTTGGGGCAATAATGAGGTCATAACTCTTTTAACTAAAAATTAGAAAACTGAGGCCCAGAGAGAGAGTGCTACTCAACTTCTGAGGCAGGAACACAATCCCAGTATTCCTATCACAGTTTTAAAATTCCCGGTGCTGAAAATACAACATGATTAGGTGAAACTATTCAGTCCCATGTGTGAATGCTTTCTACATATTTTCAACAAAGTGTGAAGTGCAAAGTATAAAACAGGCTCTATGGCTGTAAACAGAAAAGGATGACTATTAACCTCACATTTTCCAGTGATCTCAGAGCTGACACAAAGTAGGTCTAAAACTCTGAATGAACAATTAGGACAGTGGTATACAGGAAATACCCAATATAACACTCATTTTTAAAAACACTTTCAAAG